GGGGTCGCATATAGAACCTGTGCTGATCTGGTTGACGAGCGTCCTCTCTGAATTGAGGACTTGTTGATGGTGGGAAATGGACTGCTTCCATCTTGACCCTGCAGCAAGTAAATCAATGAAAAAAAAAATCAATTTCTTATCATTTTCAATTGGAATTTAAAAAAAATAGAGGAATGTCTGATTATTGGATGACTAGTTTTTTAAAAACTAACACAAAAAAATGCCACATTTTTCATTCTTCAATCGGTCGGGTTTTGGTGACGAGCTTGAGTCAAGATGTTAACTTGTTAGATGCCATAAAGGACCACGACATGGTCCATCACTTTTCAAAGACTCACAAATTCTGTTGACTTGCACAAGTGAATTGTTTCTTCACAGAGGGATGTCGCCAACTACTGGCTTGGCATGCATTTTTTGTTGTTGTTTTTACATGGCTCGAGTTTTGGAAATGTGCTCTTGGTAAATGCTTTGAGATCGCATCATAACGTCTGTGCTTCAACATTACATTTGAGGTTTTGGATCCAGAACCAAGCTGTCTGTCAACATGACGTTTTTGCAGCTACTTTACACACCAACATCAATAAAATATCTTTTTTTTTTTTTTTTAACCCAAATTTTTGTGAGATTTTTTTAAAACAAATTCCACAGACTCATTCAATAGAAATGGTGTCTTTCGCTCGACTGTATCAGGTGAAGGCTTGTCTCCACGAGCGTAATTTGTAGAACTTTTACAACTCCAAACCACGTGCTTTCAATTCACGACTATGTCGAGAATCTTTCACTTCTTAATTTCTTCAAGATCCCCTTTCCTGAAATTAGGAACTTTGTCAAAAGATCACCTGTCGCCTTTTCACTTCTCCTTCAGCGACCATCGCCTTTTTTTTTTCTTGTCTCTGTTCATGTTTTTTGGAATAAGGTAAGAACTTCTTCTTTTTTCTTCCACTCACACATCTTTAACCAGGACGCGAGACTATTTTTTTTTTTACTCTGAACATAAAGGGCCTCTCAACTGAAATTTTCGAGGCGCAAGTAAAAAAAATTAGAGGCACAAATTGTAAATTGACTTTCGAAGTAATAATTCACATTTCCCCTCCTATTTCATATCTAACCAGTCAATGAAAAAAATATTTGTCAGCAACATAAAAATAGACAATAATAATATTTTTTTTGTGAAAATCAGTAAGGATATTCATAACTTACTTGCACGGTCTCAAATTTCAGAGACAAAATGCCACCATTAACAGTTCGAAATCTGCTTCTGCAACTACACCAACTTAGCAATCATATTTTGACAACACTGCATGATTCATTGCTGCTGCTGAAAATCCTAATTATGGAGATGACTCTCCCCTACTCAATAACACACTAAAATGTTGCAACAAATTTTCAGTGGCATGCACAATCGCGTTGTCGAATGAATAACACAGAGCGAGTAATTGTTCTCTCTGTCAAGACAAATTTGGTTGATACAGTTCTTGTATTGGATCTGATCAGATCGTGCAGGTGTACCTAATGTTGTGACCGACTGTGACAGATGCAGGACATTTCTTCGCAGAGTGACAGAAAGCAAAGGAGGCAAACATGACAACAACAAAAAAAAAAAAAAACAGCATTGCTTGCACGTGAGCACGACATATGTGGTTCTCCCACCAGCAAACATCGGATCAGAATTTTTTCAGTCAAATGTGCTCAAGTGGGTAAATTAACTGTCTTGCATGAAGTGTCATTAAAAATGTAGTCGACATGCTCCCCAAACACTTCTCCAAAGTTTACGTATGGCATACCTGGCCAAGAGTTGTTTTGCTGTGATGCCGTGGCTCCGTGCGGCCGCCGTTCTCCCTCCCTGCTCCCTCCTGACAATGCGCGGCCCTTCCACAGATGAGCTTTTTTGGAGGGACTTAAGAAAGAGAACAGGAACAATCACTTTGTTCCCATTTTTTCAGATGAGTACCTTCGGAGAGAAGGAAGGAAGGGAGGGGAGAGGAAGTCAACAAGTCGAGTGCCTTCCTGCAGAAAAATAAGGAAACACTAGATAGACATCTCTGTTTCTCGATGAAATAGGGATTTGGAGAGCTTTTGGAGGAATGCAGAGGGAGGACCAGGGTGGATGTTTCGAACAAAAAAAACAAACAATGCACTTTGAATGCAGAGTGGCATGCAAGCATGGATGTACTGGAAACGCTCGAAGCAAAATGGCAATGATGAAGATGAGCACCATAAGGTACACCTGCACAAATGAATTGAAACAAATTATTACAAAGTCCCTCCGACATAGTTTCCAAATTCATTTTGGCTCCTTTTGTTGTGTGGGACGGTCAGTGTGACCTGCTGGAAAACCAAACGACAAGAAAGTCAAGTGAAGTGAGGTGACTTGGCCACTGAGTGGGAGTATAATACAGTCAAGCAGACTCACTCATAAGAGTTTCACAACTACTGTTAAGTGACTCCGTAAACTGCAGTAACAGGAATCATGAAGAATATATGTCTGTGAAGATTGTGATAGTGTCTGTCTTAAAGCGCATGTTTTTTTTTTTTTAATTATATTAACACTTTCAGGGACAGCGGTTACTACAGTAGACATCTTATCATGTTATCAGGTTAGAGGGTGCATGAAAAGGGTTAATTATATTCCATCTTATCCTCACGAGGGTTGCGGGTGTGCTGGAGCCTATCCCGTCTGTTTTTGGGCAGTAGGTGGCGTACACCCTGATCTGGTTGCCAGACAATAGTAGGCCACAGTTACGCTCACAATCACACCGAGGGACAATTTCGAAAGTTCCATCAACCTGCCATGCATGTTTGTGAAATGTGGGAGGAAACCGGAGTACCCGGAGAAAACCCACGCAGGCACGGGAAGAACATGCAAACTCCGCACGGGAAGGAATCGAACCCTGCATCTCTTTAGTTTGACAGTCTACCACCAGTCCACCATTGTTTACCATCGGTCAAACTGCCGGTTCTTGTGAAGTTGAACCGAGTGCACTGTCACCATACGGTGCTCATATGATCTCAAACTTTGCTGAACGACAGCTCACATCTTAAATGACTTGTAAGTCCGATCTCTCTTATCTCTCGGTATTAGAAACAGCATTGAATATGATGTCATGTTATTCAACACCAACACAGCATCCACAATAGTCAATAAATTGGTAAGAAATATTTCTCTTACAATGTTAATTAATATTGATCGGGATTATTTTGTAAAGGCCTGGGTTTCATTTTGAGTTATTATTATTATTATAATTATGAGTGATCGTCATTGTGTTTTTGTCATTTTGCAGATTCAGAAAAATATAAATACAGAGATACCAAGAGGAGCAAATGTCCCACACTCACACTCCACTGAGGAGGTTCAAACCATAAGGCAGCACAAAAGCTGGTCAGGCACTTGTGTGTTAAATTTAAATCATCACATTTTCTGTTAAAAAAAGAAAACCCATTCTCGCAATAACTACGAATGAAATAAGCAATGAAGAGAAACATATTACATGGAAAGAGATGAGAAGTCTGATTATCAAAGTCGCCATGAAACACTGTTGGGGTCATTTGACAGGGTGATAAAAGTTTGTCATAGAGGAGGCCTTGTCGGCTAACTTGGTTTATTAATCCGAATGAGACGACTCATGAGTGAGTCAAGCGTGAGTAATTGAACTCATATCATTGAAAGAGGCAAACTGTCCTCCTTGGTTTGTGGCCTGTCATTAGCTGTGTTAATTAGCTGATGAGGCCAATTAACCTCAGGACCTGAACAATGTGGGCTTCAATCCATGTGAGAGATTAGCAAATTGATGTTCGTGTGTGTGTGTGTGTGTGTGTGTGTGTGTGTGTGTGTGTGTGTGTGTGTGTGTGTGTGTGTGTGTGTGGTAATGCAATTGTAGCCATGTAAAAAGGCATCATATTGAGATACTATTAAGATAAGATAAGATAAGATATCCTTTATTTGTCCCACACTGGGGAGATTTACAGCCTTCAGCAGCAAGATTGAAGGCTTATTTTGAAGGATGCAGGTGTTACTCAATTTATGGGTGGGATTTTGGTGGTGATGAAAATAAATGTAGCAGGGAAAACAAATTGAGGAGAGAAAATGCAAGTTTGATACAGATTTTCTGACAAAATGAAAAGAACAAAACCACTTAGCAAGAAACATAAAGTATCAACACATGTCTTTTGCGACATAAAGTGATGCGGCAGACGGGATGGGGCCATGAGTTTAGCGCATGTGAGCAAGTCAAGTGTTTCCCATCTTGAATTTTTGCTGTATATGTTACATTCAAAACAATCTCAAGGCACACCACCAAACAAAATTAAGTTTTATCATGTACCTTCTGCCATCTAGTGGAAAAGCAATTCAATTGTTCTGCCTGTCACTAGTCCAGCAATTTTCTGTATGCTTCTCCCGCAGCTGTGTTGGAGCCCATCCAAGCTGATTTTGGCCAAGAGGCTGGATACACAGCTGGACTGGACACCGGCCACTTGCACGGAACATTCACGATTAAGAACAATTTGGATTCTTCAATTGAGCTGACAGCCATGTGGAGTAGCAAGGCCGGAGTATGAACGGTGAGGCAGTCATGCTAGCAAGTCATTCGAACCAGTCATTAATCATTAGTCAACAAAATTATAGTGAATAAATAAATAATTTTCAGATCAAGTAAGCAAAATTGGATGATTTCCTGCCGCACACTCACAACACACTGGCCAAGTGTGAGTGAACTCGAAAGATGTGGCTGGATATTATTACAGGCACGACAAAACCACGGCCGGCCGTCACCGTTGTACTCTCATCAAGTGCTTTCCTGTCCTCCTTATAATTTCACCTTGCTGACCTGTTTGACTCGCGGTCATGGCATGCACAGTCACGCACTGGAATGATTCATGAGGGAAACGGCGCTCCAGACCCACGCTGACCTTTGACCTGACCGCCGGTCATTTCTGCCAGCCAACTACTAGCGACTCATTAAGGAGCCCTAAGTGGTTTTTGGCTTTCTGCGACACTCTTAAAAAGCGGTCCGGGGTGTATATAAATATGAGACATTGGAGAAGTAGACCAGCAAGCGGAAGGATCGGACTCAGACTTCGGCTAGCCATTGAACAAAAGGTAAGACCATTGGCTTCGTGCTTCCAGTGTTCCACGTTTTGTAATAAACAATTGTTCCTTTTCTTTCAGCAAAGATGAGCGGAGCAGCTGTGTCCATGTGCCTGTTTTTCCTCCTGTCTGTATGCTCAGCATGTTACATCTCCAACTGTCCCATTGGCGGGAAACGCTCCATCATGGACGCCCCGTTGCGCAAGGTGAGCTCTTTTGTTGTCATTTGAGATGACAGAAATATATATAGAAAATGGAAGATGACAACTGTATCACAGGGCACCATGCCACTGAAAGCTAGAGTGGGCTAACTTCATTTTTGGACATTTTTAAGTTCCGAAATGAATACGGAAAAAGGCTTATGTCTCAAGTGGATTGTGGTTTTAATCAAAGATTATTTAATTTTGATACTGAGCTGCCTGAAACATATATGTCATGTAATATTTCAAAAATATTGCTGAATAAATATTCTAAGTTCAGTTTTATTCAATTACTCATTTAATTTTGGAACTACCCTACCCTAAGAGTAAAAGGATTTTGGAGCATTTGCTCAAGCGTACGCGCTAGCTATGTTAGCTGCCGGGCTAGCTGGAGGAGAAGACACTTTATATGAAATAAAGAAAAACCTTAATATTAATATGTCTTTTTCTGATGATATGCATAACAAGGCTGTGTTAATTTGAGGAACACACTCCTTTAAGACTTACCTTCGGTCCACCATTTAAAATATTCCTGGTGAAGCAGACATGCTAACAACTAATTCACGATGCTGCCTGGTTACAAGCTTTCAGTTGCTCCTAAAACTAAAAGACAAAGGATATTGCATGACAAGTGCATCATTTACAGTTACACAAGTCCGGCTGTATAATGAATTTAATGTTCATAGTGTGCCTAATGTCACAGTAGTTTAATTAATGCAGTGCAAAACATTTGTTGACTTCCGTTGTATTTAACTTTTAAGTTTATTTATTGTCAAACACTTATCCACATTTTATTAACTCATTTGCAACACTTATTTAATCAAAATTTATGTACAGGGGCTGGTACTTGAAGAGCCAAGTAAGATTTTTGAGGTTGATTTTTTTTCTTTTTTGGGGGGGGGATCAATGCTTTAAATCATGTCAACATATACTAAAGCACAATGGACATACACTATGCTTTAACGAATATCTGTTTACTTTCAGTGCATGTCATGCGGCCCCGGGGACAGGGGCCGCTGCTTCGGCCCCAATATCTGTTGCGGGGATGGCTTTGGTTGCCTGCTCGGCTCCCCGGAAACTGCTCACTGCTTGGAGGAGAGCTACCTGCTCACCCCCTGCCAGGCCGGGGGGAGATCCTGCGGATCTGAGGGCGGACACTGCGCCACTTCAGGTCTCTGTTGCGATGCAGGTATGTCTTATATTTCAAAAAATACAAAAGGTAGCTAGCTCTACGCAGTACCTTCACACATGCAACATGAAGAACACGAGAACAAGATAATACATAAGAATGAGCCATATATAGATCTTGAGGTATAAGAGCTACACGATGAGGCAGTAGAACCATGTGGTTTCTCCCAGCCAATCAGAGAATGGTCGTGACAACAATAAAAGAGTGAAAATTACAACTTTTGACTAATTTCAAATTATTTTAACATTTGTATTATATTATTTTGTGCCAGAAACAAAGTTAACTGCTACCCTTGAACAGTTAAATTCGTTTTTCAAATTGATTAAAGGTTAAATAAATTTGTTTAAAAATCGATAAATATCTCTAAGATTAGTGTTGTACAAAAATAATCAAAAAAAAGAGTATTTCAGTGACATAAATATTCAATACAGATGTTTATCAACCTTCCTGTGAAGTTGATTTCTTTGATCCACCAAAAATGTTCATGGGTCATTGTGACCGGCCGCATGTGAAGCCATTTTGAAATTATGAAGATGTCTTGACATGAACCAATTTAAAATTTTAATGTAGACCAAGTTGAACCACAATGTAACAGCTTAGTAAAAAAAACAAAAAACAAATTAATGCTCAGATTGGAGGTATTGATTAATATTTTTGTTGTCATTGTAGTTTGCAATTGTGTATAACTGCACCATAACTTTGGATCTGACTACATTACGCAAGTCAAAATAATGTTGTTGTGTTTGTGTGTACAGTATACAATATTTGGACATATGGTTTAATCATTTCAGCTTCACATACTAAACAAAGCTTGAGCTGCATTTGTCTTGTGAAAACATTCACAGCGTAAAATGCTGAGGGGAGGTGGGGAAGCTGATAAGAACACAGAGTGATTGCACTTACTCCATAAAGTACTTTCCCCCTTGCCCTCGTTCAAAGAGAGCTGCAGCGCAGACCAGTCGTGTCTCATGGATGAGGAGGCGGATGATCAAGTGGGCCAATACGACGGCGGCGACCCCGGTGACATCATTGTGAGGCTCCTCCATCTGGCCGCTCACGCAACTCCTCATCGACTCGCTCAATGAGTTGACACTGAGGGCGGCCCGGGAGACCTTAAGTGCATATTATTAGTTGCCCATTTTAGCCTCTTGTCGATATATTTTTATGCATGAAAACAGAGGATATATACTGACAGTCATCTGGCTATCTTGCATGTTGAAATAAAGTTTTGAGGAAGATTAAAACACTGTGTTTCCTGAATCAGCTTAAGAGAAAAACATGAAAAATACTCTATCCATTAATTTTATATGGTGTTCATTCGGGTTGCGTGTGAGCTTGAGACTATTTTAGGTTTACCAGCCAATCAGAGGATCCACATAGACAAGCAAGCACTCACACTTAAAGTCACACCTATTGGAACGTCATCATAAGCTGAGGAGCCCCGGTGTATTGACATAATGCATTGCTAAATACACCTTGCATGTATTTTTGGAATGTGGGAGGAACCGGGAGTACCCGGAGAAAACCCACGCAGGCACGGGAGCACGTGCAAAGTCCACACAGGAAGGCCGAAGCAGGAATCGAACCCTGCACTGTGAGGCAGACGCCTGAACCAGTCGACTACCGTTCCACCTTACTTTTATTAAAGTCGGGCAAAAAAAAAGTGTTTATCATTTGCTTTTGTCTTGAGCTCCTCTTGATTGCTGCTCTTGCCAGGAAAATGAATACAGTCGACAAGCGCGATTCGAAGCCATTTGGTAGAAGTGAAAACACATAATATTTGACGGCCATTGAAATGCTTTGGATTTTTTTTTTTTTAATCTAACAGAAAAAAAACAGGTGGGGGGGGGTAAGTATTTTATGCAACATTTTGGGAATGTGCATGGATGCCTGATCATCCGGAGAGAAACCACACAAGAAAGGGGCATGCATGACTCCAGGATGTTTTCTATGAGAGGTGGAAGGGGGGCTTGACCAACACCTAGGGGGGTGAAAAAATAATTTATAAATATATTTTAGAATATTATCATAAATAAATGCTGGGGGGGGGGGCGTCACTCGGGCTACACAGATTTCTGCCGGGGCTATGACAGGGGAAAAGATGCAATATCACAGAAGGACCTGAGTCGAGATTCATACCTACATGCTCACCACGCTGCCCATCAGAAATCATATTTCGCCGAAAAGACTGACTCAGCAAAAGCCTTATCACTGCACTGCTCCACCAAACGCACAATTATCTTTATCTGCTAGCCATCTTGTGCCTTTTTTATGTTCCTGTGGTCATTATCTCCTGCAAGAAAGAGGTCACCTATGATCCATTTGTCTCCACTTTCATGGCAAATCCTCCACGGACCACACTTGACAATAAACGCACCATTGTACACAGCACAGTGAAACGCATTGATCGGGTATTACAGTATAGTATTGACCCACGGTGATTGAATCTTGCCGTGGCAAGAGAAACATTGTCACATAGCTTATCTCCATTAGTGACTTCATCACCAGTGTAAAGTTCGCACACAGGGAGGCACATTCATTATCTTGCATACACCTCATGTGATGAGTCTTATTGGAGCTCATGGAAATTTACACCAAGTCTATGCAAACCACGGACAGTGGAGAGAGATTTTTTTTTTCCTCACATAGACTCCAAAAATGCTCTCACACACTACTGAAATGCTGTCACAATAACTACGGATTGTTATCATTCATATTGTATACCATTGGAGCATTCTCACAGGCACTACTAAAATTGTGTTACACTCTACTCGCATTTTTTTTTTTTTGCTCGCATGGACTCCGACAAAACGCTACTCACACACACACACACACACACACACACACACACACACACACACACACACACACACACACACACACACACTTCTGAAATACTCTATTGCATTCCCGAAATGCTCTCACACTTATTGCAGTATTTATTTATTTATGCTCCTGTACAACTTTAAAATACTTGGACATTATTCCGAATTTTTTTCTGGTTCACAATTACGACCAAAACACTCGCAGACATGTAAAGGAAATGCTCTCACACTCACAATTACAACACTCTCACCGATGTTACCGACATGCTCTCACACAGTAACGCGACTTGAAGCATCCTCACCACACCACTGAAACGCTCTCACACACACACACTGCATCAGGGTGGCTGCACATGCACATTCATCCATGACGTGTCATTGAAATTCAGCACTTCTTTTGGAAGACAAAAATATATATAAATGTGATACGTTGTTGTGGGGCACTTCTGTAGGTACAGGCCACAACATTAGGTACGGCTGTAAAATGGAATGAGTTGTTTCTTTCTTTTTTTTTTTTTTTTTAAGGGGGGGGGGGGGGTTATTGAAGTACACATTCAACATTATCGGAAACTTATTTTGGTTTACCTTTATCGCCGTGAGAGGGACAGAATATTAGGAACATCCTCCCTCCTTGCGTCTTATCAGCAGCATGTGGCCTGCAACCCATGTAATTGGAGACAGCTGAAGTTAATGATTGAGATGTGTCATAGCGTGTGTGTGTGTGTGTGTCGGTGTGTGTGTGTGTGCGCCTATATATATAAGTCAAGGAGATAGCTGTGTTCCCTCTACCTTCACTTACCTCTGACACCATGTCTTTCTCTGGAAAATACCAACTGGAGTCTCAGGAGAACTTTGAGCCTTTCATGAAGGCTATCGGTAAGAGCTGTTCATTTTCTTTGTGATAAGTTTACATCCCCAGGTCTGTTTGTGTTAAGTTTTGGGGTGGTGGGGGTCCCCCCCTTTTAGGTCTTCCTGATGAGCTCATCCAGAAAGGCAAAGATGTCAAGAGTGTCTCTGAGATTGAGGAGAACGGCGACAACTTTAAGGTGACAGTCACCACGGGCACAAAAGTCCTCGTCAACTCTTTTACCATCGGACAGGAGGCCGAGCTGGAGACCATCACTGGGGAGAAGGTCAAGGTAAGGCTTGAGAAGAGAATGGATCTGACTGAAGAAATGTGTCCAGAAAATGTACATCTTTTAAATGTGGAGAATTCAATAGTATAGTTGCACTTTGCAGTGTTTATGGTTGACTCTTTCACTCCAGTTTGGGCAGGGTTATTTGCTGATGAGGTTAAAGGGGGAGAAATGAAACCTTAAATCTATAACTTTATTTGCACTAACTTAACCAGTTGAATTTAGTAGAAAGGAAATTGTAAAATTTTTGGGGAACTGCAAGAATTACTTAAGCAGTCTTATACCCCAACTAGTCTAAAGATAATTCTGATATTGGTTTGTGGAATAAATAAGCAGATAATTGCCTTTTTTGTCACATTGGTTTTATTTTGGACAATGCTGCCCTCTGCTGACAAGTGAAATTGATGTCAAAGTGCACTCACAATATGAACATTGTGACCAACCTTGGAAAACGGGCAGACGTGATGTTTGCAATGTGAGCCTGAGAGCACCCTGACAGTTTCCTTCAAGAGCGAAGAGTGATGTTGTCCAAAATGGCAGCCTTCCGAGATTAAAAATCGATGGCCTTAGAATCTTAATTCAGTCTCACGATACAAGTAGGGGACATGTGCGATACATTGCAAAGAAAATCTTTGCACTCCCTTTTTAAAGTAACCTATGCTTTGACTTGTCTTTTCCTCAACAATAATCTTCATGGTTTTCCTGTTGTGTTAATAAGGTGAAAAATAATCAATTTGCATAACATCATTTTAGTTGTACAATAAGTAATAAATTCAGCCGTAACTAAAAAGCTTGCATCCAGGAATTTGTTTTTTTGTGATGGGAATTCACTGGTCAAATTTCTTTTTACTCGGACAAAGTACCAGAAAATGTATTTCCACTTTTTTTTTCCCTCCAATTGTGCAAACCATTTTAGGTTAAACTTTTAAAAATAAACTCTTCAATCCTGATATGATAGAAATGTACTTATTTTTGGCACACAAAGCCAGCTGGTGGTTTTGATAGTGTTATCAGCAGTCTGTAATTGTTGCTTTAGTTTGCCATAAAATAATCTCCTAATCACTTCTCATTTAATAATTAACTACTTTAGTAATTTTCATGTCGAACTATAATCCTCCCTTATCTGCAAATGTTGTGGTTAATTGGTCAAAACTCAAATTTGGCCGTTGAGCAAAAAAAACACCTTTTCTAGTGTCTAGTGATTTTTAAATGCAGTGCTCATTGTCTGTCTTGAAATGTGTTGCATATTTCTTTGTCAAGGCGGTGGTTCGGCGTGAAGGAAACACACTGAAGGTTTCCCTGAAGGGAATCGAGTCAGTCACCCAGCTGGAGGGGGACACAATTGTCAATGTGAGTGTTGTTGCTTTGCAATTCCAAGTAAACTCGCCACATTTCCACATTCTTAACATTGGTCTCCCTTTTCAGACGATGACACTTGGTGACATTGTTTACAAGAGGACAAGCAAACGCGTTTAAGTCTGCACCTGGCATAATAAAAGTATTGAAGGAAAATCTGGGGGAGTGTTTTTTTTTTTTTCTGTGTAATGTTAAACTTGGTGTCTACTTTAGTTTAATTTGAGGACCTACATTATTTCTGCACCTGACTTTTTTTTTTTTTTTTTTGCAGTGGTTCTCAAACTTAAGTGCCACTGTAATGACATCAAAATGGCAGCTTAATTTTTACTCCTACAGTATTAAGCATTACGGTGCTCAAATTTAAAAAAAAAACTACTGTACTAAAATTATGCCAAGGAACAATTTAAGGACAAAAAACATGTATGTTGACAAACTAAAATTGGCATACAAATTGCAAAACTGCAGTTTTCTTTTCCTCCACAGCATTCCTGAAAACTTTAGTGTATTTGACATTGGCGTAATTAAACATCAACTTTAAAATTATTTTTTTTGTTTTTTTTTAAAAGTAAACTCAATACACCTAAAAAGTAACCCTCCTTAACTACTCGGCACGGTGTTAGTTTTAATGTTTTCGCCCCTCAAACTGTAAAACGCTCCATGCTTGTGTGGTTTTGAACTGAAAGAGCCGGCTATCTCGGCTTTCTGCCGCAGTATTAAAAATAAAAATGCATCTTACGAATTGTAGCTGTGTGAACGTCTGTCGCTGTGCCCTGAGATATTACTGCCGACTAGTCCAGGATGCACCCTGCCTCCTGCCCACCAGTCACTCTAACACCAACTCTATAGGAAATAATTTCTTCGCCCACCTATTTTGTCTCTTGGGGTGAATTCGAAGAGCGCATGTGAATCAACTGCTGTCATGCTGCTAACTGGTGGAATGTGCAAAGGACACGCTTCAATTTGATTTTGAGCTTATCCCCGGACATTCTTACTGCAAAAAATGAGGCAAGCGTGTGGAACTGAACGAGCGGAACGTGTAATGGAGATGACATTCCGTGGTTGTTTTATTTCCTCCTGTGGAAGAGATTCTTGATGCCTTCCTCCATGGATTTGGGTTCATGCATCATGGTCATGGGTCTGTTCTTCAGCGCTGCCTCTCTCATGCTGTGGTAGACATATTCATTCTGCTTGAACATCCTCAGCTCCATCTCTGTCTGCACGCGCATTGACTGCACAGGGGGGAAGAAAGGGTGTATGAAGGCAGGAGCATTAGAGCACTGTTGTAATTCCAATTTCTCTTCTAATGACTTTGAAATTGACACTGAAGTTCATCCGACTGCGGTAGGAAAAAATAGACTTGATGCTGAACGTAATGTTCGTCCATTTGTTCAGGCTCCACACACTCAATGCAAGAATAATTAGCAACAGCTAAAGAATTTGGGCATTGGCAGAGAAGATTTAGCTAATTTTTCATGGGCCAAAGGTACAAGCTCAGTGCTGTTCGACCCACAAATGCATGTTACGTACAAATCAGGATGGGAAACAAGAAATCTATCAAACAAATTGTCTTACTTTTGGGCTGTTTTTTAAAGATAAAACCTTTATTTGTCTCACAATGGAGAAATTCCCAATTGACAGCAGCAAAATTATGAAACAAAGTATAAAAATAAAATATAAATATAAGCATTTTTTTTTCAGAAAAAATATTTTCTTACTGTTCGTTTATCGCATTTCTTGAAGTTAATGTTTCTCTCATTTTTCTTGACATTTTGACTAGGAGTAAAATTCTCTTTTGCATCGGAAACTTTTTCTCCTCAAAATGCAGATTCCAACTTTTCCTGTCATTTTTTTTTTCTTCACGTTAAAAACTTCCTTGCATTTTTAAGTCGAATAAGTCGAATTCTGATTTGAAATCAAAAATACTTGGAGCACCTATTTTTAAAAACTAACAGACTATTTTGCCTTTTTTGTCTATAGTTTGGGATGTAAAATTGTAAAATTTAAATTTTATTGTCATGATATTGAAACTTTAGTCATAATATATCAGTTTCTTTCTGATACTATGTTTTTTGTCCCCCTCTAAAATGATCACTCTTCTCATGCGAAAAAAAATATTGTAACATTCTTGTAAAATTACAATTCAAGTAAAATACAACTTTCTCATATGACATACGTTGGGACATTTGAAATAAGTCAAATTGAATTGTGACCCCTGCAATGTGAAATAGCAATTTCTTCTTCTCCTAATGTGACCTTTTTCTCGTCACATTGCAACATTGTGACTATTATTCTTGTAGAATTCTGACTCAACTCTCAGAAAAATGCAACTTTTTGTCTCACTGTATTTGGATTTCTGTCACGCGCAAATGTTTGGGTTTAGCTTTTCACGATTGAATGTAATAACAGAAGCCGTGCAGTATCGATGAAGATCCAAATTGGTGCTGCGCCCTATTAGGATTGTTCCACTTTTTATCAGATGCACATTGAATAGAATATAATAGCACTCCTGTGTCTGTGCTTGAGATGTACCATCTAAAATGGAATATTTTATGTTTTGCAAAAGCATTGCTGTATCTGTAACCTTGTCAAGGGATACCAATTAAAAAAAAAGAAGTTTAATCACCTGACACTAACAACAATGGAATTATAACTCAACATCACAAGGTGACCTCATCCCTGAAGCGTTTTTTGTACCTCCAAGTCCTTGGTGATGGGATGCGTGGGGCCGTGCGTGACCATGAGAATAGCGTAGGCCTTGCAGATCATCCCGTGGCCCACCTCGATCAGGCCTGCTTGCCAGTGGGTGACTCCCGCTCGCATGGCCGCCATCCCCAGGGTCGGGTTGTTGGGATGGTATAGCTTCCTGCCCGCCATGCCAATATTGCAATTATCCGTCATAACGTTTTTTGGGGAGCAAGAATAAAAAGCCACAAAGCAGTACAACTGGCGATGTCAGGATTCCAGAATAACTAAATTGAACTGTCTTACTTTTTATGTTATTATGACTAATTTCTGTTTGGATTTCTTTTTTCATTAACATTTTGCTCTCATAAGATGATGATTTTTGTCTTCCTTCAAAATGTACTTTTCTTGCAATATTATCATTTGTTTTTTCTTGGAAATTACATTTTTCTTTCTTGAAAATTTCAAAAATTCAGTTTTCTCTTACATTCTTACATATTTGAAAACACAACCCTGAACTGAAACAAGCAGCATCATACTCCGTTTTGCTTGGTGTCTAAAATAAAAAAATTAAAAAATTTAAAGACTCTTCTCTACATACATGTAGCCATCCACCATTTTGCGGGTCTTGGAAATCACATTTTTCTTTCTTGAAATTTTCAAAAATTCAGTTTTCGCTTACATTCTTACATATTTGAAAACACAACCCTAAACTGAAACAAGCAGCGTCATACTCCGTTTTGCTTGGTGTCTAAAATAAAAAAATAAAAAAATTTAAAGACTCTCTACATACATGTAGCCATCCACCATTTTGCGGGCGTATTCGGCAGCATCTTCAAAGTACTGCAGGTAGGCCTGCACCTCGCTCATGGTGCTCCACATCCTGAGCAGGTAAATGTGAGTGTCAGCCAGTACGGGCTCCGTCTTCTCAATGCACTCCTTGCAGATCTTCACCAACTGAGAAAATACACCATACAGGATGACAAGTGGCATCCACCTCAAAGGAAGGGAGAAGCCAAGAAGTATTGGTCACCTCGTGATAGTCGCCCTTTAATCGGGCCTGGTCCATCTTCTCCAGCATTTGCAAACAGTATTCTGTTGATTCTTTCACTTGCTCCTCTGATGGCTAAAAGAAGGCAGAAAGGGGAAAAGGTTGATTCAACTGTAATCGACTGACCACATTTTTATAAACGGAAAGAGAAAATCTGTACAAGCTGGAAAAGTGGAGTATTAGAATAGTTCTGTTGTCGTTTTTTTTTTTTTGGTCCTTGTAATATGGCTTTATTCATGGAAATTAGGACTCTTAATCGATCTACCACATTTTTATAAACAGAAAGAGAAAAAATCTGTACAAGCTGGAAAAGTGGAGTATTAGAAAGGACTTTTCTTCTGAAAATGACACTTTTTTAAAATATTTTTAAAAAATCTTTTTAATATTAGGTTTTCAAAACAATTCAACAATTTTAAAAATTTAAAAAATACTTGATAGTTCTGTTGTCTTTTTTTATTTTTTGTCCTAGTAATATGGCTTTATTCATGGAAATTTTCTTCTGAAAATGACACTTTTTTAAATATTTAAAAAAAATCTTTTTAGTATTAGGTTTTCAAAACAATTCAACAATTTTAAAAATTTAAAAAATACTTGGAATGTTCCACACCACTTTTTTTCAGACCCATACCAGGATGAGTGTTCACCGAAGTACAGCTATCTCAAGTACTTTTGATATATAAAATTTCATTTTCAACACAATTTTAAAAAATGTGAACAAAGACCTTTCTTTCTGACGCAGATGAAGAGTCGTCCATGTATCAAACCGCTGCAGTATAGCCCCAACTACTTACTCACTGTCAAGGGTTTTTTTTTTTTTTGCCTTTAGCATCTGTGGCTGGTATCAGCAGCCCTCAAAAACACTTAATATCTTAAAATTATGCTGGTATCGGCCGATACTATTACCTGGTGTCAACATCCCGAACAAAACCACCCCTGATTTATAATAATAAATTCACTACTACAGCGTTTTTTTTTTCCTATACTGTATTTAGCTGTTTGCATTGACAGATAAGCCATCTGGAATTATCGTTGCTTTAAATAGCTTCTGCTTCTCTTCTCGTGTTTCCCTTATCAGCCGCGACTGTGCTACCACTAAACATAGTTTGACTGGTTCAACCAAGTTGCATTCTCAAAGAGAGACAAAATAAAAGGCCAACCTTAACGTTGTCCTCTTCCCTGCCTCCCATCTTCAGGTCGTCCTTGATGCGCTCCTTGCAGTGGTGGCACGTACAATCGAAGAAGTACTGCGTCTTCAGCAGCCTCTGCCTCTCCGCCGAAACGTTGATGAAGTCCACGTAAGAGACGGTCAGCTCCTCGCCCTCTGCGATCTTACCCAACGAACGCAGCTCGATCCTGAGGAGTGACGGAGAAGCTCTGTGAAAGCATCACTTAGCGCACATTTAAGCTTTTTATTTGATTTACTGTTTGAGAGGATGATTTTTATTATTGGTGTGATGATAAACCCTGATTCATGCTGTGGTTTTTAGTCCAATCAAGTGAATGGTGAAGGGAGGAAGGAAAAGGAAATCTAATAATGTGTTAGGAGTTTGCTCCTCATTATGTACGATATTAACGTTAAGCTAGCTATAAATTTGCTCTAAATAAACCAAGTGTAATTCTCTTTTGTTTTATGTTTAGTTTGACAATAAACTTCAACTGGGAGTGACAATAAACACCTTGAAAATTTCTTTTTTCAATAAATGTTCACTGTAAACTTTTTGTGGCTTTTTTTGTCTGGTGGTGTCCCATGAGAGAGCTATACTATATTAGTCTTTTCATTGCACTCACACTGTGCCAACAAAGTGACAAAGCAACTTTCGTGTGGATTAGTAAACCGTTTAGAAGGTAGATTAATGCGAAGATGAATGCAAGGGAAAGTATGATCTACCGAGTTGCTATTCTGTACATGTAGACAAATAGAAAGAGGTGAAGCTCTGCACGTGTGTTAGCGGAAAATGTGGAGGTGACTTCAGAACACATAATTGTTTTTCAAAGACAAACCACACGCACAAGGCTAAGAGGTAACGCACCTCTGTTGAGAATGATACAAAGTATTCACAGCTGACTGACTGAAAGACAAACAGGGATCAGTTTTACACACGCGCACACGCACAGAGACATACGTACGCACACCGAACACAAAAACACATTGAAACACTGTAGTCCCAGCGGGTGTTAATCAGTTGTTCGAACCTGATTGACTTACTTGCCGTGGTTGAGGATGACGGTGCAGTTGGGCCAGCAGTCGTGATTGACCAGGCAGAGATTAGGGAAAAGGCCAACCCCCACAGCCTGGAGCCCCCGCTGGTCGCTCACAGTGAAGCCGTTGCAGTTAATCTGGGAGGTACAACATTGGAAAATAAAGGGGAATTGGTTATATTGGGTTGACATTTATTATTATAGTGCTTTTTGTCAGCACTCCTTTGCAATTGGCAACCACTGCTAAGTTATCACTCCATCGAGACAACCCACATCATGGACACCTTTTCTTTGTTTTTGTGTTTTGTGCCAATGCGTATACAAAACAGGTAGTCACTCACCAGTCCAAAGATGTGCGAGATGACATCACTGGTGTGCTGCTTGCTGTTGCGAGGCCAGTAGTCCAGGAAATTGTGGATGTCCACTTTGAACTCCTTCAGCTCGTCCTCTGCCATGTCTTCGATGTGGTCCTCCAGCTGGTCCAGCGTGGTCAGCTGTGTGTCTGACACCACGCCGCCGTCCTTGTCCAGGCGCCACATGATGCGAGCCACCAAGCTGCATCGAAGCGACAACGGCGCTTGATTCACTTGAGTGGAACCTTGCGAGGCAAAACTGAAGGCTCTCTGTTGAGAACCATTGTGTGTTCAAACCACATCTATCCATTCATTTTCTGTAGCGCTTGACCTCATCAGGGTCACGGATGAGCTGGAACCTATCGCAGCTGACTTTGCGCCATCCACTCACAGAGCAATTATGGGAAATCAACTATTCACACTCTGATTTGCACCAATACTTAAAATAAGTCGAGGTGCTCTTAACCTACCGAATGTTCTCGTTGGGCGCCTTGCCGTAGTTTTTGATGGCGGCGCATTCTTGCTTGTGTTCGGCCCAGCCGGCCCGCTGGCAGGTGCGGTCGCAGTAGTGAGAGAACTTACACTGTCCGCATCGCTGCAGTTTGTCTTGTCTGCGGAAACAGCTGTGGCAGATCCGCTCGGCAAGACTGCAAAGTATGGATGGTGTTATTATGTGTTCAAGTCAAGGTTGTTAGAGTTAACAAAAACGAGCTAAATAACTCAAAATAAAAAATAAAATAAAAATTCATTAATGAAATAGAATAAAAATGAAAATCCTTTTTAATGAATTTACATCTTAATTGTATTAAACAAATTCTTATATATAATACACAGGCTTCAGGATTCAGTTTAAATGTCTTTATTTCAGTGTCGCTGTGCATCCGTGAGAATTGTAATTTACTTTATTACAGAACACTTAGTGACTGATTTATTTTGAATAATACGCCATATAAAAAACTAAAACTAATATTAAAGCTAATCAAAAACTAGACCAAAATGCATCTCCCCCAAAAAATAAATAAATAAAATAAAAAACTATCAAACCAGCGCTAAAAGCTACAAAGCTACACATACAAGGTGGATTCATTCATTAACATTAAGGACTACAACACAAGTTAAAGGAAAAAAAAGATACTTGTGACTCCTGCCTCCCAAACTCATACCTGTCAAAGACAACAGCTGCGAGGCTAGGCTCGGAAAAGATAACATCCCCGGCCCAAAATTCCTTGTTGGTCTTCAGACCCCTCCCCTTTCCAGGTGAATCAAATATCGTCACATTCTCCATTGCCGAGGCACCGCTTCCTGGAATGCTTGAGCTCTGATGGTGTATCCAAGTGGAAGAGGAGGGAGAGAAGACCGTCTCGTTGGTAGCGGGTGACAAAGTGGTCAGTTAGGGGCTGGGCTGCTTCTTAATCCCATACACCAATCCACTTCTTCCAAAAAGACAACTGCATGGCAAAGGTACGAAAATAGCCAGCCACTTGTTGAGCTGGACCACAAATGTACAGAACATGCGTTGGGGGGTGTCTACTGTCTGACTAATTCGACATCTATGTCAGAAACGTGTCAAAATATCTTTAAATCAGACCAGAAGGTCTCTGTAACAAACTCACACTCTGTAAACCATTTAGGATTGTTGCTTTTTTTGTGTGTGTGTGTTGATGTATGCAGGTGTGAACAGACATAAAGACCCCCCTACGGCTCCCGAGAGTTGGTAGGTGCCATGTTCCACAGGGTTATTTTTGTCCCTCACTTGTTTCTGTCTGTCAGGAATCTGAGGTGATGTTGGACAGCTGTGAGAAGATTGACACACACACATCCTATAGACCGGCCGCAAAGAGTTTGTCTCTACTGGCAGTGCTTTCTAACATTAACACACACACACACACTTAGGCCAAGCAGTTAAGTATTGTTGTGGAAGCCTGTGGCAACCAATAAACAACCCCCCAGTCTGGCAAGAGATACCATCTTAGCAAATTAGCACTAAGAAAAGCCCATATTTCCAGTTATTGTTTACATACTTTACTGTACATGATTATGTAAATGTACCTATACCTATTTTAGATTAATTTTAATAGGCGAAACAGACGGAAAATAGTTTGATCAGTCATTCATTAGAAGGTTACTACATTTGGAGAGTTCCATTTTGAAGCTTAGAGGTTGATAACTGTGATTCAAACACAGTGCACAATTCAAGTTTGATGATGGCGTTTATTCTGTAAATCAACATGGGAGTTGAAAGAGGTACATCACAAGGAAACTAACTACTGTGAAAAGGAGTAGCAAAGAATGATAATAGGATAAATAAAATGAAAGGGAAAAAACAACAAAAAATTAACAATCTTTGCACGAGCTGGTGTTAACTTTCTAAAAGGACAAACGTGGGACTCATGTGGCGAACTTATCCATTTAAACCCAGTTTGAAGCAACACATCGTACACAATCGGCTAAAGTCTGCACATGTTGATGAGCTGCGGGAATTTCACCTTCATTTGAGTCTTGCAGTCAGCGGTCAAGAGTACAAAGTTTTTGGTCCTCTGAAATGTGAGTCTCCAAAGTGGGGCTTGGTCATTCCCGGTCCTGTTGGAAAAAGATTCTATAAAGGAGTCTTCTTTGTCTTAATGGAATGGCCGGTCTGGAAAACTTGATCATTGTTACATTAGCAAGCATGCGAAGCGTGGATTGCTTGTGTTAAAATCAGACCAGATGTTCTCATTCTTTATGTACAGTCCAGTATTGGGCCTTTCTGATCCTTGAGAGCCACCATACTTTGTGTTTAGCAATTCAGAAGTCAACCAAAACATGCCAGTAGTCCAGGTACTATATGTATTAAATTCAGCTGAAAAACTACGCCTGCTTACTTACTCTTACCCAATGTTAGAATATGCATGCTGTCGAGATCACAAATCAAAGAAGTCAACGTGACAGGCTGTGACAAAGTCATTGTCTAAAAGAAGCCTCATTAGCTTGGCTGCAGAATCACGGCATGGGTGCAGATGATACTGGATGCCCGTTAGCCTCCGAATATCCTCCTGCATCTGTGTGTCCATTGGCCCTGGAAGATGAGAAGATGAAATGTCACAATATGCATTGACCTAGTTTAGACTCACCAAGAATAATTGCAATATAGAGAAACCATGAAGACAAAAAACCCCCCCAAAAAATAACAGATCGCCTCCCACATTTTTTAAACACATTTAAACCAATTTTTTAAATACACGGTTAACAAGCATAACAATATTTTAGTCTGTGTGTAGTAGATATATATATCTGGGTATGAGCGGTGGTACACAGCACCCTATTTTTTGTATATTTTATGTTCTCCCATTATTCAATAAACATATGAAAGGTCCATCAGTGAGTGAGGGTCTCCTTTCCAACATGCAAAGGCATTAAAGTAACTGTAATGTAAAACCACATAAGAAACGATTGCTGAAAAAGCTAAATGTGGCACGGGCGCAAATTATCAACCACAAAAATAAAGAAAGAATACTGCATCGTTTGTGAAATTTAAGTATGAACATACCCGGCGCGTAGCTGAGCACTTTGACATTCGGATTCTCGACTGCCAGCACCCTGAACATCATGTCCCTGGCCGCTTTGGCAGTGCAGTAGAGAACCCACGAGGGCAGCGCCTGCACTGCAAACATTGAGGAGCAGTTGACCACGCTCCATTGCAATCCAGCTCGCGGCGGAAAGGCCTGCAACATTCCCGCAGTCAGCGCCAACACGGAGCTAACGTTGAAGGCCAGGTAGGAATTGACCCGCTCGAGCTCGGTGAAATTCTCAAAAGGGGAGATGTCACCCAATGAGGCTGGTGGTGAGAAGAAACATGTTTGTATTGAAATCTCCTTTCCGCAACAAGAACCCTGAAGCTGGGTCATGGGTGGGTTGTCCAGCATGGCAGTTGACTCAAAAGTGTGAGATGAATGAAGAAGTGGCTCAAGAAGAAGTAAATTAAGGTCATGGAGTGTTCTAATAGGTCGCTTACACACATCTCAGAACAAGGTGTCGTTTTTTTTTTTTCTCGACACATGCACCCACAGTTGCTTAGAGCGGTTATCAATTTATTTTATTCTGTGGCATTAAAGTATTTTGATGACTCGCCAGCCAATCTACAACCACAACACTGGCAGAAAGTTACTCTGTTTTGAGAAATCGACCCATATACGCTGTCCAGGGCTGAATTTCCATGAAATGACAAGTGGATAGATACAGAGTGTAAACTTTAAAATCGTATCCAAAGAAGCAGTTTTAAATTGACACACCTCTCGCTCCTGCAACTTTAACATTGACAGTGAAAAACAGACGATGAAAGAGACGTCGTAGTCCGTATTCAATTGGGGCTTTATTTCATCTTGATCAGCAAACAATTAGCTATTATTCACTTGTATGAATGGCGCCGATCTGGATTTGCCTCAAGACGTTAGCTTTCGGCTAACGTTGGAATCGTCTTCTAGCTAGCTTGTACTAGCTAACTAGCTTGCTCTTGAATCCAAAACATAAAGCGGTTTGAAGTTTAGAATTATTTAATATTATGCTTTTTTGGTCTATATACAATAATCTCTTTTACCACTTTAATTTTAAGGTTAACAAACACAGCGCTCACAAGGTGAGCTGCACAAATACGAGAAACTACACGGGAGAAGTTACTCACCCACTTCGCTTGCCGCGTTTTAGACATTTCTTCTGTCTTCTTACTTTCGGAACTCGAAAGATACATTGATCGTGTTTTTCTCTTGGCATTATTATAACACCTAATGACGCAACAAGAGTGCATCATTTTAAGAGCAACCAAGGAGCGTGTTATGCAGTTCAATGTAAACAGTTGAATGGTATCCACCCAAGATGGTAAACGAAAAAAAAAAGTAGTGCAAGTAACGAAAAGTGCAGGCGACCTTTTTTCCAGACCTCAGCCTAATAGTAAACCTGTGGAGGGATCTGTAACTTAAAAGATTTTCAGAGTTGATCTCAGGACACGTGTGTTAAAATCCCTTCTGAGCTGTCAGAAAAATATAATCATCATCAGATTGTTGTTAATCCATGAAATTTTGTTGGATTCCCTTATAGTTAAATGGGGAATAAATAATATGGTAGTACTTTTTTTTTCAATTAGACAAATACATCACACCTTATGTTTAAAGGGTTGAAGCAACTCATCATTTGGCAGCTCTCGTATTCATGGTAAAGGAAACTGGAGAGATGAGTTGAGTATGGTCATATACTGCCATGCAAGTCAGCCTTACCAGCGTTATTGATAAGAAGCACGTGGTCTATTTCTTTGAGACTCTGCTGTCTTGCCATGGCCACGGTGTCCTCGACGCCCTCTTTGGTACTCAGATCTGCTACCGTACAGAAAATAGTAATTTCCTGCATGTCCTTGAGATTTTGCAGCAGTTCCTCCTTCAGTTGCTGGAGCAAAGGCCTGGAGCGAGCCACCAGCAGCAGCACGGAGCCCGTCTTGAGATAGTTTAACACCTGGAAGAACACATGACATTGTCTCCTCTCTAATGTATTCTTTCCAACCGAAATACAGCTGACTACTTACAAGGTGTGCAAGTGCCCGTCCGAATCCCTTCGAGGCTCCTGTGATGATGCACATGCACCGTCCCAAAGTGCTCCCACTTGCACGAAGAACTCCTGACATTTCTTCTAAATTCTACCTTTTGAAGGGTTGGAGCTTAAAACGAAAGTGAGGATGGAGGACAGGAGAAATTTTGCCCATAAGTTGAATGTGAGCGCTTGCAGCACTTTTATAGGCTCACATAAACAGGCAGCATGAAGGGATTTCATGCTCAAGATTTGACAGTGAAAAGACCTCAAGGCTTGGCAAATTTTTACATGGGGAACTAATGTAATATTTCACGTTAAATCCAAAGCAACGTGAACTGTATTTGCAGGGTTCAGAGTTGAACTACATAGGTCTGACATTTTGACATAGTATTTTTATGCCTGTCAAGCACATAAAACAATTTTCAACAAATTACCAATTTTTTAAACGTGAGAAACCTTACATGATGAAGACAAAAATTCTTTGTGCTTACTGGTCTTACAGTGTGTGGTGCACTGGAGATCACCTCAAGTGTCCTCTCACAAGCCACAGTTAAGTTGTAGAACCAAAACTGACCAACGAAAGACAGCCTGATGCCACCGGACAAAAAATAAATAAAAATACAAACAAGTCAAAGGAGACCAACAAATAATTGTTGATTTTCCTAGCTCCAAAACAGAAAAATATGGTTGTTGTTTTTTAAATATTAAATTTGCGTGAATAACTTGAGATCCTATATGTCTCTTTCCAGAATGAGCCCCACTGATGATTTTAAATAATTGCTTATGTATCCGTTTAATTGGTTTTCCCAAATTACCAATTTTTTTAAACGTGAGAAAACTTACATGATGAGGACAAAAATTGTTTGTGCTTACTGGTCTTACAGTGTGTGGTGCACTGGAGATCACCTCAAGTGTCCTCTCACAAGCCACAGTTAAGTTGTAGAACCAAAACTGACCAACGAAAGACAGCCTGATGCCACCGGACAAAAAATAAATAAAAATACAAACAAGTCAAAGGAGACCAACAAATAATTGTTGATTTTCCTAGCTCCAAAACAGAAAAATATGGTTGTTGTTTTTTAAATATTAAATTTGCGTGAATAACTTGAGATCCTATATGTCTCTTTCCAGAATGAGCCCCACTGATGATTTTAAATAATTGCTTATGTATCCGTTTAATTGGTTTTCCGCACTACAAATCAAAGATCGCGTGGCAGGAATAGTTAATTTCAGCCTGCTACGCAATCACAACATAATAATTCCTGAGTTAAACCACATATAAAAAGTGAGGAAAATTACAAAGTAACGCTTCTTTCATTTTGTCAACAAAATTTGGCTTGAGCCGAACAGAAACACATGACATGGATTTAGGGACTAAAGGAGCTGGATTTTAAAGATCGTGGCTCCCTCTTGTGGCCAACTGACAAGAAAACGTGTGGATGCAGCAATTTTCGATGCAAATTTGCTATTACGTCATTCGGATTGAATTTCAGCAAGAGCACAGATGTAAATAAATACCAACAAATAATTGTTTATTTTCCTATCTCCAAAACAGAAAAATATAGTTGTTGTTTTTTAAATCTTAACTTTGCGTGAATAACTTGAGATCCGATGTCTCTTTCCAGAATGAGCCCCACTGATGATTTGAAATAATTGCTTATGTATCCGTTTAATTGGTTTTCCGCACTACAAATCAAAGATCGCGTGGCAGGAGTAGTTAATTTTAGCCTGCTACGCAATCGCAACATAATAATCCCTGAGTTAAACCACAAATAAAAAGTGAGGAAAATTACAAAGTAACGCTTCTTTCATTTTGTCAACAAAGTTTTGCTTGAGCCGAACAGAAACACATGACATGGACTGAGGGACCAAAGGAGCTGGATTTTAAAGATCGTGGCGCTCTCTTGTGGCCAACTGACAAGAAAGCATGTGTGGATGCTGCAATTTTCGATGCAAATTTGCTATTACGTCATTCTGATTGAATTTCAGCAAGAGCACAGATGTAAATAAATGTGTTTCAGTTTCCAATCATTTTTGATCACGTAGAGATCATAGCGATATTTTTCATTACTAACAAACTACTTGAGTCTTCATTAGGTACCCTCTTTAAGTAGTTAATTTTAGCCTGCTACGCAATCGCAACATAATAATCCCTGAGTTAAACCACAAATAAAAAGTGAGGAAAATTACAAAGTAACGCTTCTTTCATTTTGTCAACAAAGTTTTGCTTGAGCCGAACAGAAACACATGACATGGACTGAGGGACCAAAGGAGCTGGATTTTAAAGATCGTGGCGCTCTCTTGTGGCCAACTGACAAGAAAGCATGTGTGGATGCTGCAATTTTCGATGCAAATTTGCTATTACGTCATTCTGATTGAATTTCAGCAAGAGCACAGATGTAAATAAATGTGTTTCAGTTTCCAATCATTTTTGAGCACGTAGAGATCACAGCGATATTTCTCATTACTACCAAACTACTTGAGTCTTCATTAGGTACCCTCTTTAAATGCAGGGGTGGGCAACGTAAGGCCTGTGAGGCATATATTCCAGAGGAGCACTTCATCAAATTGAGAACTGGTCGTAGTATTACCTAATGTGTTTTGCTTGAGCCGAACAGAAACACATGACATGGACTGAGGGACCAAAGGAGCTGGATTTTAAAGATCGTGGCGCTCTCTTGTGGCCAACTGACAAGAAAGCATGTGTGGATGCTGCAATTTTCGATGCAAATTTGCTATTACGTCATTCTGATTGAATTTCAGCAAGAGCACAGATGTAAATAAATGTGTTTCAGTTTCCAATCATTTTTGAGCACGTAGAGATCACAGCGATATTTCTCATTACTACCAAACTACTTGAGTCTTCATTAGGTACCCTCTTTAAATGCAGGGGTGGGCAACGTAAGGCCTGTGAGGCATATATTCCAGAGCACTTGATCAAATTGAGAACTGGTCGTAGTATTACCTAATGTTTCATTGTAGCCAGAAAAAGACAAAACATGAGAAACACGTTCCAGTATGATGTACGTTTTTGCAACTGATAGTGGAAGGAACGCAGGTAGGGCTGCCCAATCATTTATCGAACCAATTTCTATCTCAATCCCATCCATCCATTTCCAGGTCCATCCAGGCCATTTTCCGACTGGCCGGATGCCAAAAGGGGGCGTTTGCATCATGCAGCCGGGAGGGGCGGGTCCAGTGGTGGGTGTGTGTCTCTCAGCTGATGCGCGTATCAACCGAGCGACTCCATCATCAGCATCCGACGCGGTCGACGACGGCATCCCGAGCTGCACCGACGCGCGGCCGCATCGCACGATGATCGGGGCCTGCAGGACGCGACACTGACAGCGGAACAACAACACGGAGTGCGCCTTCCGCACGCTGCAGAAAAAAAACAGTGAGTATCGCTTGTGTCGACGGAACGCATCACTGGGGTTGCTGTGCACAGTGGCTTGGAGGTGGGGAGGGGTGTGTGTGTGTGTGTGTGTGTATATATAGTGTGTGTGTATATATATATATATAT